ACGCTAACGTAACCGTAATCAACGTCCTACTGTGACGTGGCACTCATTACGCCACAGGCAAGCACTGCAGCTATATAAGTGGATGCACAGTGCGTATCGATCAGTTCGAGTTCGAGTTCCAGTGTGGCTACCGCCGAAGACATTCCGAGTTATAAAGTAACAGCCAGCCGACTACAGTTGGAGTATAGCAGCCGTCGCGGTAAGAAGATCCGGACGTGTGTGCGATTGTGTAATTGGGAGCGCGTGATACAGTGATACATAGCTCCCCTACTGTCAACGTGTATACTACTGAAGACAGAGTGGACTGATTTGCGCATAGGGTTATAGGTCGTGAAACCCCGCAACAGTGTTAACAGATTAATGCGCTTAGGGTTATAAAGTGTGAAACCCCGCAACTGTGATAAGTAATTGTAGCCGTTAGTTGTAGATTGTTAAATAAACCAATTAACCATCTCTACGGCGTCTTCAGTAACGTAAACACGTTACAATATCAACGTACTCGTTGCCCCGGAAACGTGTTTCCGCTAGTCCTTGTAACGGAAACTTAGTGCTTGCTTAGTCGTTACTCATCAACGGACGTGTGACTAGTCCTTGTAACGGAAACTTAGTGCTTACTTAGTCGTTGCTCATGAACGGACGTCTGACTGTGGATTCACTATTCCGGCTTTCAAGTGCCATGTCACAATATACTGGTAGTTGATAGGTATGAGATACCAACTGGATTAGCGAAAAATAAGTCTTCTGTGCTACACGCGAGTTGCGACTGGGCTGCTGCTTCATATGATTATGCAAGTCGATCCTGCATTATATCTCTGAAGTATGACCCTCTACATTGCGTGTGGGTGCAGGGAAGCGGCTTTGAAATTACAATTATGTTGGCAAGTCAAACTTCACCCAAACTCTTCACTAAATTAGGTTTGCATTCATGGCTGTCACTTTAGTGGAAGCCAGGGGCCTACCCACTTGGTTCGGCAGTTGTTTGCATGCCTTGGTTTATCACCTCGTCAAGTATTCAGTATTACCACAGATGTGTTAAAGCAGTCAGTTCCAAAACAACAACGCTTAATCAACTGTTTTGTTTATAATTCTTCAAGTCGTAAATTGAATTGTGGTAATAAATGGTTTATTGTTGGCGATGTAGAATGAAGGATTCGTCGCCTATTTTAAGATACCGCGACAATATGACTGAAAGAGCAGCCGTTGCTAGGCAGCGGCTGGGTAGAAACATAATATCTGATCCGTTGTGAGGCAACGGCTCGATAAACGCGTTTCCGCGACGACGAACACCTGACGCGACAATGGAGGAACTTCCACCAAACACGATTCTAAACCAGGTGCTTACACCTCCCTAACATAGCAACCCTCCTCCAAGTCTTCCACCTCACCGATATCTCTGTCTTCTCGAGCTTTAAATTTGGGCATTTTTAACGAAATTTCACAATATCAAATTAAATTAATATTAATTATTTACTGATTCAAATGTTAGATAATGTATACAGGTTGACAATCCTGACTAGGTCTGTCCTCACTGGCTCGAGCAGTCGGCTTAAGCGTCCTCTTAGTTTGCTTCCCGTTTACAAATACGGGGCTGCAGTTGCAACAGCAAGCTTCGAGATGCGAATATTAATTATCAGAGTTGACAGACATGTCCAATTACAAAATATTTTAATTGTTTCGCGCACTTAAGGAGGGATAGAAATACGAAGTCTGGAAAGATAAATGAAACTTTTCTGTCAGTTCGCAGTGCTCCAAAAGGATATTGTATCCAGTTCCTTCGTCACCTCACTGCGCGAGAAGCCGGGTCTGGCAATGTGCCAAGATTTGAGAAGGCAGCGGAGGACAAACCATTTCTGTAGTTGTTTAGAATTAACTGTAACTACAGGCGTAATATTCTTTCAGTATAATTGTGATTCTTCAGTTTTCCCCATTTCGCAGCTATCGAAAGGGGGGGGGGCAGGTATCTAAAAGTAACTGGCACAGAGAAAATTTGATTTCCTGATTGCAAAACACTACCCTCCATTTTTGTCAGCTGCTCTGTCAGAATTTCAGCGAGTTATATTAAACGATTTAATTACATATTTCGCAAAAATTAACATGGTCTCCCTGTGATATAGCTCCTTTTTTTGGGGGGGGGGAACTTACTTACTTACTTACTTAATCCGTTCCTCTTATACCTTTACTCCTACGGGGTTGTTTTATCGTTTTGATCATTTTACAGACGGTAGGACTCCTTGGACGGGTGATAAGCTCATCGCTTAGAAACACAACACAACATAAACACGGAATAAACGCATAAACATATTAT